CACACACACACACACACACACACACACACACACACACACACTCACACACATAAGAATATCGGTGTGGCAGCTGGACATTAAAGGTCTCTAGATTCCAGTGTTTGGGAACTAATTGTCATAAGCAATTAATAAAACCTTGGTTTCCTGGCTTTCTACCTAGTAATGCTAACTGCCTTCTTGAACTGAGGTAGATTCTATAGATATGTTCAGATTCTTAATTTTCTCCAAATGTATAAGAGCTACAAAGATCTGGTTGGTCTGATTTGCAGGAGACCTTTTCCATATTCTTCCAACCCTGGTTAGTTACAGAAGTACGAGGTCTAAATACGTTTGAAACTCTGAATTATGACTTTCCTTGGTTGTCCTATGATTCTAAATACTAGCAGAAGTAGAAGAAAGGCAGGGTAGAAAATAGATCAGACCCACTCTCCAGAAAATACAAGACTGGAAGCAAAGGCCTATAGCTCAGCAATTTTCAGCTTTGATGTTCAGACAAAGATTGGGGTATCCTATCAAGTGATTCGAACATTTTCAGTTTGTAAGAACTTTGATACTATCATTATAATAAAAATAATACCTCTTTGCATTTTGGTAGTATTTCATACTTCTCACAGTACTTCAATATTTTTAAAGTCATTTGTACTCAAAGTAATTAGTTTGACTCACTGTTATATTCATTCGATAAATATTTATTGCATGTGCTAGGCACTGCTATATAATGATATACAAAGCACAATCTCTAGCCTCCTGAGTTTAAAGTCAGAAATTAGTCCTAACGATACAGAAGATTGGACTTCTAATTGCACATATGAATAAAAATAATGACATCACTAATAGTAATGACTGTAGCTAATACTCTGTTGAGCACTCAGATAGTTTAGCTCTTGCATCAGAGTTCGAACCCAAGCAGGCTGGCTCAACGACTGCATACAATAGCTAAAAACTTACATCCATTTCAGATTCAGTGATGTTCAGAATTCTTTTTTTTTTTAACGTCCTGTACTCTAATACTACTTTTTTCTATAAGTTTATTGCGTTTGTTTGTGTTATAGATACCCCACAGACAAGTGTTACTCATGTAACCCAGTTGGAGAGAGATACCATTCTTGTGTGCCTGGACTGTAAGTTTTTATTTATGAACATCTTATTTTAATAAGATTTATTTTAACATAGTTTTTAAGTGACTTTTTTTTTCTTTCTAGGTTGTATAAAAATAGTAAATCTCCAAGGAAGATTAAAATCTAGCAGAAAATTATCATCAGAACTCACCTTTGATTTCCAGATTGAATCGATAGGTAAGTCAAAGTTTTGTATGATTTCCTTAAAATAATTTATCTGATAATTATCCAAAATTATAAAAATATATTACTAAGGATTCATTTTTTTAAATATAGGATATAATGAATATAAGATCAATATCAGTCTTCTCTTTTACATAGTCTCTAAAATAGCTTAATCATTATGATATAATCTAAATAATGTTATCTTCTTTACAGATTTGACACTTCCAAAAGAAATAAATACTATTTTTTATAACATAATTATGAATTTCCATTTCCTCTAGATTCCTATAGTTTCCCTATAAGTACTTTAAAATTTAGTACTTAGTATACTGTATTGTTTTGTTATTTTTTTTTAATTTTATTGAGGAACAGCCATAGTCATTAGTTACACATTACTTTCATGTTACAATGACATAGTTGCCTCTCTTAGGAAGGGCGCAGTTCACAGTGGCCTATATGGGGATCAAACCGACAACCTTGGTGTTATCAGCATCATGCTCTAACCAGCTGAGCTAACTGGCACTCCCTGTATTGTATTGGGTTGTCGGAAAAGTCATGACATATTTTTGTATGTTTTTTGTTGCAAAAATGCGTCATGACTTTTCCGACAACCCAATAGAACATCTCTCTCTCTCAGCAAACAAATACTGATGGTAATAAGAAGTCAGTTTTGAGCGATATCTGCTCATGATGTTAAAATGGAATCCATACTTTAAAACACAGGTCAAAATAGCCAGGGTCATGAAACGACATAAACAGAATAGAAACTCAGAGGAGTACGTAGGCCTGAAGCCAGTAGACCTGCTGGGCTCCTGAGCAATAAAGACTAAAAGTAGCACACAGGATAGGGGAACCAGAGCCAGGCCCCTTGTGCCTACTAATCAAGACTCTCCCCACCTAAGGCCTGGTGGTTTCAGAGGCAATTTATATCCACCCTTAAAAGAAGAGACCATTCCTGTCCTATACCAACTGTTTCAAATTGTAGACAAAAAAGGAATGCTGAACAAATCAGTGTTTTAACACTGATACTAAAATCAAACAAGATTAGTACAGAAAACAAAATTATTCAATTTCATGAAAACAGATTTTGAAACATCTAAATAAAATACTAGCAAATGAAAATCACATCATCAAATATTGGACTTTATCCCAGGAAAACAAGGATGGTTCAGCATCAGAAAGTTTATTTATGTAATATAGCACATTAAAGTTAAAACCAAAAAGTCTTGTAAATCTTCAGTAGATGCACAGAAAACATTCAGTAAAATCCAAATCATTCATGATTTAAAAAATAAAACTTAGCAATTTAGGAGTAGAAGGAAATGTTCACCTAGCAAAGCCTGGTAGAATCTCATGTTTAATGGTCAAACTAATTCCCATTAAAGTGGAAAATGAGGTGAGGAGTGTTGTTGTCACATTTCAACATTGTCTTACTAGACGAGAAAAGGGAGCATGAGGATTGGAAAGAAAAAAGTAAAAGATCCTTTTTTGAGAATGGTGTATGAATATACACCTCTACACTACTGGAACCAAGAAAAAAATTCAGAGTTGCTAGATATGAGTAACACAATGAATAGCTTTCTGATATGCTAGTAATAATAATCTATGAAATTTTGAATAGGAAAAAAGACCTCATTGACAATGACAATAGAATATGTAGGAATAAATATAATCAAAACATTTAAGATGATTATTTAGGAAATTCCAAATTATTGTTTAAAAGCATAAAAGCATAAAAGAAGATTTGAACAAAAGAACCACAAAAGAAAGACTGAATATGAGAAAGATGTCAATTCCTCTCAAATAATCCACAAACTCAGTGAATTTACAAAAAATAAAATCCCAATAAGGTATTGTGCCACTTGATAAGCTGACCTTAAAATTCGTATTCATATGAAAGAGCCAAAGACCAAGAATAATAAAATAAATTTTGATAAATACTTGCCCTACTCATACTCAATATTGAAACTTACTATAAAGCTGTAGTGATTAAGACAGTGTGGGATCAACACGAGGATAAATAAATAGAAGAGTGGAACAGAGGAAAGGCTCAGAAATAGACCTCGCTGGAAAATAAGACCTACCCGGAGAGTAAGCTGTAGCATGATTCCTCCAGGCTATGGAGGGCACGCACCCCTCACATGAGGGTTTTATGACCTGTTTCAGGGAGAAGGGTGCCTTTTCCACAAACTCCTTCAGCTTAAAATATTCAGTATGCCACGATGCCATATTTTGGCACCTAAAATCATGCTACGGCTCATTTTCTGGCTAGATCTTATTTTCGGGGAAACAGGGTACATGTAAATGGAAATTTATGTCATGTGTCATTGGGGAAATGATATATACTATTCCACAAACGATGCTGGTACAATTGGTCATCTAGAAGAAACAAAATTTGATTTCTTGCTCATTGAATACACTTGCAAATATCTATTAGAAAGGTAAATATAAAACACAAAATTAAAAATTTTAGAAGGTACATTCATCTGTGTCCCAGTAATTCTATTTCTAAGTATCTACCCTAGAGAAAATTTTGCACATGTATTCAAAAAGCAGTACAAGAATGTTTATTACAGCATTCGAATTAGAACCATCATTTGGTTCATCATACCAAATACATGAAAGTTGGAGCCATTCAACATAAAGTTTACACTGATAATGTAAACTTACTGTGTAGTAATAGTAAAAACATGCATGGGAATAATAAATACCAAATTTGTAAGAATAGTTTTCTCAGGGAGGAAGGAAAGGCTGGAATGGGACTAGAGGATGGGATATATAGGGATGCCAGCTGTATTTGTTTTTATTTAACAAAAAGCAAACATGACAAAATGTTAGGATTTAAGAGTGGAATGGTGGATACATGTGTTGTTGTTGTTGGTTTTTTTTTAGCTGAGCCATTCTGCCACCTGTTGGCAGCTCAGCTCAGGCTGGGAATTGAACCAGCAACCCTGTTGCTCAGAGCTCACACTCTTGAGCAAGCTCTTAACCAACTGAGCCACTTAGCCGGCCCTACATGTGTTTTTTTAATGCTATTCTCATATTTTTCTATACGTTTGAAATATTTTAAAATATTGTCATTTTATCAAAATATTTCCATAACAAATATTTTCAGTGAATTTTATTTTTTCTTGCCAAAAAGATGAATAAGTTCTATATAGTATTTTTTAAATTTCAAAGGTAAAGATGCCACGTAAATACGGAGTGACTGACATTAATTGAAATATTGTTATGCAAGATAGAGAGAGGGATGCAATGATGCTTATCAGTTGAACTTTTGTACTATTAACAGTAACTGAGCTGTTCTTGCCTGCTAGTTTGCTTACAAGACAGTGTGCTAGCTTTCTGGAAGCATGGAATGCAAGGTAGAAGTTTTCGATCGAATGAGGTAAGTCATCTAAAAATTATGTCCATTAAACGGTCATGAAACACTATCAAATTCTACATCAAACAATTTTCTTTATGGAAAATGCCCATTTGATACAAAGAATACTTGATTTGTTAACTTTATTAATATTTACTGTATCAAGTCTAGTGATAAAATTAATAGCAACATATGTTATAGCCACCTCTCTCTTTCCATTCACTCAGACAGTTTTAGTGCAGATTTTATGTGCTTCCAGGTCATCACCCTTATACTCAGCACAAGAACTTCCTAGTACTGCTAAAAGCAAACCAACTATGATTTTCTTTCAACTTTCCCAGACCATCACCTGGAACAAGAGTGCTGATACTGGCTCTCTGTGTCTTGAGGCATCTTTTCTACTTTGTATATCAGAAATAATGACCAATGCAGGCTATAAGTAAAGGGTTCTTATTTCTCTTGAAGCCACCTTGCTGCCTATTTCTGTTACCCTTATTCACTTGACATTTTTAAGATTCTTTGCCCCTGTTCTCTTTTCTTTTATTAACTTTATTTCTTTTTATTAAGCTTTAGCTAGATCTCCTGAGTCCTTCCTACCTTAATTTAACTCCAATTCATGTGACATACTCAATTCAGTTCAACATTTACACCAGGAAGTGCTAGGATTATAAACATGAACAAGTCATGCTACTTGCCCCCTGGAATGTTGTAGGCAAGTAAAATCATCAAAAATTCTTCTAGTTCCCTGGAGCTGATCTCAATAGGATAACTTTTACTTGAGCATTGGAGGGAAAGGAGAATTTTAGGTACCTCAAGCATGAAAATAGCCCATATATGTTCTAAAGTGTCATTCATGAAGCTTAGAGCATTTCTTCTAACAAAGTAAACAATATAGCAGAGTGATCATGAGCATGGGTTCCAGAGTCAAGACACCTGGGTTCAAGTCTCAGCTCTGCTCTTTAGTAACTGCGTGACCTTGGCATATCACTTCTCTTATATTTTTTCATCTGTGAATTGAGGATAACAAAATAGTACTTACTTCATAGGGTCATTAAGATTAAATAAAATGAAGCATGTAATGTGTTTGTCATAATGCCTGGCCTATAGTAAGTATTCCAGAAAGGTTGCTGCTATTATGTTTCTAGTAGTAATTCCCACAAGAGGGTGTCACTTTTCAGGAAGATGTTTTAAAATCATCTGAGGGAATCAAGCAGGGAAGTAAGAACAGTCAACAGCTAATAAACACTCTGCAGAGAAAGGAAAGCACCGTAGGCAGGATATAAGAGAATGGTTTTTTACAAGACGGAAAAATTTGCCCCCCCAAATCATTTGAGCTTTTCCAGACTACACAGGTAGCCCCCTTACTGAATACCACCTCTCCAAAAATGGTATATCATCCTAGTAGACAAACCGCAAGCTACCAGGAGACAGGGGAAGAAATGGGAAAAAAAATTATCTGCCGAGCACTTAGCTGGGCCTTATACCCACTGATACTTGTAAGAACACTGCATGATACTACTGCAAGGTTGGTATTTTCTGTCCCGTTTTGCAGAAGGCAAAACCGTTTCCAACATGTTAACATACCTTCCATAGTGTCACAGCTAGTAAGTGGGAGAACTGGGGTTCAAATTCAAGTCATAAGTTTGTCTCATACCACACTGCAGCGTTTTAAGTAAAAGGTCCAGATCTACGTGTCTTACTGCTGCAGTAGCCTTGCTATTAGCATTCACAAACTGACAAAAAGTTTCTGATAAGTAAAATGGACTGGGTGCTTTACTTTTAAATTTTTCCCTTGAGTTCTGTAACTTAACAAGTAAATGGTTTTCCTGCTCTCATATTTTATGATTTATTTAAAACTAGCCACATTTTTCCTAAACTAATAATTGACGCACCAATATGCTAACTTAACAAAGGAATTTATTTCCCTTAACTCAGGGATCTATTTCCAACTTAGGAATCCTCTTTCTTTTCCATAGAGTTATAAAATAAGTCCCCATATAGAATGTTATGCCTTTAATTTCAGAAATTAAATTTATATTTTAATTGAACAGGTAACACAGGAAATTTCAGATAGCACAAGAATTTTCAGACTGCTTGGATCTGACAGGTATGAAGGGTGTTGTATTAAATACATAGTACTAAACGTGGTGTTTTATAAATCCAGCATGAAATTGGTGTCTTTTTCAAGAGACTTGAAATTTATTCAGACATATATTCAACATGATATTTTCCACACACTAAGAGTTCACAAGTCAGAAAGTTTTAAAGCCCGAGAATATGCCTAACCTTTCAAGTAATAGGAATATGTTGCTCTGTCAGTAACAGTTTTATATTAAACATACTATCTAAAGTATGATTTATACCACAAGAAAGAAGAAATACCGTATGCTAACTAACAGGAACTTTTTTATTTTAGTGCCAAATAGGATTTTTGGGGTTGTATTCTGATTCTTGAAATACAAGTTGGTTTTAGAATTTATAATAAGAATTAAGTTCCCCCAAATTATTCCCAATACAGGTTCTCCTCCCACCCCCACTCCCACTCTTAGAACAACGCTGGCTTAGAGGTGGGAGGTGGTGAGCAGCAAAATTATTTCCCAGAGCTGGAACTGGCTCTTTAATCACAGTGATTTGCAAATGATTTCTGGCCACAAATCAATTAAGCAGCAATTGTAGAGGCATATAATGAAGAAGCAATGGAAAATGTTTGTAACATTAGTTTTCAAGAATAACTTTGTATATGTTTTTTTATTACTTTTAGGGTCGTGGTTTTGGAAAGTAGGCCAACTGATAACCCCACAGCAAATAGCAATTTATACATCCTGGCGGGTCATGAAAACAGTTACTGAGAAATATTGTGCTTTGACAGTTAACTGTAGAAACAAGGAACCTACCGCTGCAACATTAATGGATGCTTGAAGCTGTACAAAAGCTGCAGTGACCTGGCTTCAGTTACCTGTAATTTATTGTGGCATGACACAAGATGGGGAAAACTTTTGTTTTAAGTGGTATGGATATATTTAGCATATTGAACCACACAAGTGCTTAATTCCTTGTTATGTAATCTTTGTACATATAGGCAGTATTTTTCTGTGAAACTTCATATTGCTGAAGACATACACTAAGAATTTATGTAGATAATGTACTTTTATGAGATGTACAAGTAAGTGTCTTATCTGTACAGATGTAAATGTTGATGAAAAATGCAACTGGGGTTAATATTTTAAGAATTCTTTAGTATATTCTTGGGTGTGGCTATATTACAAAAATGGGATGCTGGCAATGAAACAGTACATTTAACACTATTGTATTTTTATTATATGTAATTTAGTAATATGAATATAAATCTTGTAACTTTTAAAATTGTAATGGAGGCTGTAATCATTTTATAATCTTGTTTTTAATTTTAATGCAAGTACACTGGTGTTTATATTTGCACAAAGTATTGATATGTGATGTATTAAGTCACAAAAAGAAGCTGTGACATTGTCAATATGCATTTGGCTCCACAACATCTTTTTAAAATGTATTTGGATTGTTTTCTATGTGAAACAAACCAATTAACCACCTGTTGTAGTAACTGGTCTTTTTATATTTAAGCAGAATTCTGTAAGATTGCTTGTCTGTGCTTAAAAACAGTACCTTTGAAAAAATTTTGAATCCCAGAATACTGGTACCATGATGTAACACTGCAGTTGTCTGAATTACAGTATGCACAAAGAATAAATAAGCATTTTTAAAGAGTCCACACTAAACATTTCATATTTACATTGAAGAGCTATAACATTCCATGGAGTGAAGTGGTTCAAATTTCTAGTGGAATTGTTACTTTTGTTGGCCTTTTTTTATGATCATTTTCATATTTCTTTTGATTTAGAGTATTAACACATGGCCAAAATAATTTAGTTACTACCTCATATAAACAATGTAATGGTTACTACACATCACAGGAACTTAGTTTTGGTTAAATTCATTTTTGATTGCTTTTTTTCCAATGGAATATGTATATACCAAGTTTTGGCAAAATGCACACTTTTGGCTCTTTTTTGGTATATATTCTTTATATTTTAATGTGAGTATATACACTAAGAACAAACTAAGTTGTGATTTATGGTCTTCATTTATTTTAATTGATAATGCTTTAAATATGTTCCTGATTGTACAGTGTAAAATAAACATGTTTTTTAACATGCTGTTGTATAGTAGCGTGTCATCTGACTTAAATTATATATAGTAAAACTAAAATATAATGAAAAAATTTTTTTAAATATTCTGCATTAAATCCTTAAGTACGCATTCTGGTCCCTCAGATCATGATTGTTTTTGTTTTGTTTTGTTTTTTTATCTGTCATCTCAGTGTCATAAGGGAATAATATTCCCACATTTGAGGAAAGGACATCTTTTATAATCTTCAACTTCCTGATCAGGAAAATCCAATTAAACATTCATAGTCTTTTGGTTAGAGCAGATGTTGGCAAACTACATTCCTCAGCCCATTCCTGCTCACCACTTGTTTTTGTAAATAAAGTTTTATTGGAACACACTACGTCTTCATTTACATGTTGTCTGTGGCTACTTTGGCACACAATTGCACAGTTGAAAGGTTGCAAAAATACAATATGGCCCACAGAGCCTAAAATATTTACAGCCTGACACTTTACAGAAAATGTTTGCCAACTCCTGGGTAAGACAAAGGAAGGGAGACTTGGGGAATGTGGTTCTGGAGGTAAGGAAGGGGAAGATTAGATGAGAAGAACTGGATTGGGGGTGAAGAGGCACCATTTCTACTCTTGCTAATGCCGCTTGCCTGTTGTTGTGATCTTGGATAATTTACTTGACTTAGAACAGTTTCCTTCTCTAGAAATATGACTTCTAAATCATACAGATGTTAACAACTATCCGAGTCGTGTACATTTATCACTTTTCCCAGCCCAGTTGTGTACATTTATCACTTTTCCCAGATTGTGACCAATCGTAGCATTCATGGCTAAATAATGACTGTTTCAGAAACACATCTTGACCAGTAAGTATAACATTATCATTAATTTGTTGAAAAACAGAGACTCGTGGAAAAGATTTCAAGAAATTAAGATTCTGCTCTTGGCTTTTATTGATAAATTTGTTGATCCTTTTTCTGGGCCACTGTTTTTCCTAGTTTCTAAGACCTATGAGTTATAGAAAGGGTTACATCTCAAAAACAAATTAATCATCACGTTTAATTTTCAAGCGCTTAGAAATATTTCCAGAAAACAAGGCATACAACTAATTGTGTGTTACCTTGGGCTTTTAAAAAAATACAGACGCCTGGAATCAATAACCTTTATTTTTATAAAGTTGTACAAATAATTCTGATGTACATCCCTGTGTGAGAACCACTGGTTGACACAATTTAAATCATCATACACCTCAGAAAAAAATAATCTTTAATGACGCTTAAAAATGCAAGTTTTGGGGCTCTACCCAGTAAATTTTGATTAAGGATTTTTATTCACTCAAAAGGAAGAGCGCCACTCAAACGTTTAAAAATCTATTTTATCTTCATTGAAGTTCAAGTTACTATCTTGTTAGCTACTTAGACACTGGTGTTGAGAATGATGAGGTCAGTTGTTTCTGGGCCTGTTGGCATTATTCAACTTGCAAGTGTGTCACTCATTTCAGTAGAGACCAGTAAATAAAGGACAGATACCAGTTTTCACTATTACTAGAAGAAAGAGAAAAGGGTGTGCTATCCAAAATAATGGGTAAACAATGAGTATTAAGGGAATATACTAAGTGCCCAAGGCATGTATCTGAGTGCCAGGTGCTATTCTACATGCTTTATTCGATTCTCCCACCGAAGCCCCAGAACAGTCCCAACAGGGAGGGTAGACATTGTTAGTACAATTTTACAGATGAAGAAACTAAGGCACAGAGAGGTTAAATAACATGCTCAAGAATATAGCTGGTAAGTGGTAGAGCTAGGATTTGAAACTAGGCACTTAACTACTGTGCAAAACTGTTACACAGAATATGTGCAGTATATCCACTGCCCTCAGATACACTAGCATGTTTCCCCCTGAAGTTAGATTTATTTTCTTCAGGAGGGAGTTGGATTTCAAATTCTGATTTTCACTGTCTCTGCAACATGAGAAATGAACAGCACTCCTGTCTCAATGTTTTTGTTTTACCAGAAAGTATTTTTCTTATTCAGAGCATTTTGTATTATATAAAAGGATATGCATAAAATTAACTGTACAGTTAAAGCTTATTAAATAAGCGTAAGTTAAAATTCATTACAAAGACTTTTTTATTTTTTGTGAGATAACTCTTTAACCAGCATATATTATTTATAATGTATCCAGAAACTTTATTGGCCCTGGAGAAAAGATGGAAAAGGCATCATTCCCAGTATGCAAGGGATACTTGGATAAAAAATAATAATAATAATAAAAGATTAAGAGAGGTACAAAAGCCTGTGCCTAATTCTCTTTGAGGAAAGGAAAGTATGTAGAAAGTTATTTATAAACCAGGTTATCAATGGATGAATAGGAGTTTATCAAGTGCAGGGGGAAATCAGGGAAGGGAGCTGTAGGCTAGACCAAGACATACGCAAATCTGCATGTTCAGGGAATAGTGACATTAAGTGCAGCTTAGCTTAGGGTGCCGAGAGCATAGTAACAGGGCATGAAGCTAGAGAACAGGGTAGGCCCAATTGTGAAGAGCCATCTCAGGAGAAAAGCAGCTCTAGCGGTCAACAGTTTTGGAAACGGCAGAGATCAAATACTACATGCAGATGAAAACAGGCTGTTGGGTTTGTACATAAGGTGATCACTTGTATCCTTCCTGAAAATTTCCTATAGCATGGTAAGGGCAGAAATGATACAGAAATGTGTAGACGTGAGTTTATGTAGATTTGAGTATATTGGGAAGATGTTTGGTCTCGGAGGAGGAAGGACATAAAGGTTTCTGATTTTGTTTTCCAAAGATCGGAGGAGATTAGAGCATATTTCTAAGCAAATGAAGGAAATGGAGACTTGAAGATAGATGAGAAAAAGAGTACGTCTGAGGTAAGAAGGGACATAGGGACATCCTATAATGTATCTGGGCATGATGAAGCGCATTGTATTGTGCTAAACAAAGTAGGTACATGCTCGTTCCCAGCGTACAGGTAGTATTTTTAAGTCATCTTGGGAACAAGAAGGGTAAACTTTGCCAAAAAATTATCTTTTCCAATTTGCCTCCACATTATTTGTTCGCTTGACTTGCCTCCCCACTGGGTGGCAAACATCTCAATTCTAAATCAGCCCAGACACACTAGTGCAATGCTTGCTGAAGGACGAGAAGCACCGCCAAGCGCCACAGCTGAGAGCTGCTTTTCACGCAAAAGCCTGCGTAAGTTTGCTGAGAAGCTATGTGAGCACTAAGGCAGGACCGAAGAATAATGCCTAATAAGAGGATCTGACAAACAGGGTCTGTGCCCAGGCAGGAAACGGACTCATAGTTAAGTCACCAGGTGCTTAATCTGAATCCTCTTGAAGCCTTGGAAAGGACCAGGACTCCGAATAATCACGGTGTTATTGGGAAAGTAGTGTAAACGTTTCCCGAGGGCCGTCTTCGGGGCATCTGCAAGGGTTCCCCGAGGAGAAACGTGCTGCGTCCCCAAGGTTACCCGCCTACGGACGAACCCGGGACGCGGGCTTCTCCTGCGGCGGCTGCGGGGAAACCGGCTCCGGAAGCCGCTCTGCCCTTCCGGTCCTGAGCGTCCGGTTGCCTGGGCGACGCCGCGGCCGGTCGGCTCCGGAGTTGCTGCGCCCGCGGCTTCTTGAGACGGCGTCTGCGTTGCCCGGGTCCGCGCCGTAAGTGCGGGTGTCCGCGGCGGGCGGGAGGGGAGAGGCGGGGGTCCGCGCGGGGGGTTGCTGGAGAGAGGGGTGGAGTGTGGATGAAGGCTCCCGGCAAGGGAAAGCGGAGCTGCCGTCCCCTCGATGGCCTCTGGGGGGACAGAAAGGAGTGGGTGGGGCGACGGGCCAGAGGTGACAAATGGAGCCCGCCGGCCGCACGACCGAGTCGGTGCGGCTCCCTGGCGGCTGGAGGGAGGTGCGGCCCTGAGGAGAGGGCGGCGACGGTGGGCCGGCCGGGGAGACGAGGCCGGTGTGGCTGCAGAGGAGGGAGCGAGGGGCGCGTCTGCGCTCGGGGAGACCCACGTGTGGCGGAGCTGAGCTGCCACTGAAGGAAGGGTCGGGACTAATTTAGAGACCTGGAAATAAAATGGTATATGCAAAACTGTCATACCTGTTGTGTGTCCACATGAAATGTGATGGGGTTTTTTTTCTTTGTAACAAAATTCGTTGCTTGAATTATGTAAATGTGTGGTCTTCTGGTGTTCTGGGGATGCTTTTATAATTAAAAGCTATACTGTAATTAAAAGCATACCCAGCTGTACTGTCACCAAGGCAAATTGATAAACAGGTGTGTGTACTTTTGACGTTCTGTAATTCTGTATTTTAAGACAGGTGCAAATGGTTTTTTTAGCCCATTACCCTGGTCAATTTTATTCAATATAAATACATTTGGTTGCTTTGGAAACAGTAACAACAACGTAGCAAAATGTGACGTTTAGCCTGTAGAACCTGTAACTGGTCTGGCCTGGTTTTGAAAATGTTTCCCCTCCCCCCCCCATTCCTAACGCCACTGTGTACACGAGTTTCCAAGGAACTCTTAAATACAGAAATTAATAAGTGTTTTCATCCCGTTTCCTCTCCCTTTCTTAACTTTGTTTTCCTTCTCTCGATGTATTTGTTCATTAGCTTGCTTGAGCCCTCAGGACCTGGTTTGTGATACAGTGGTGGAAAATAGTCTGACTCCAGGTGTTTTCTCTGTTATTGTGTCTGGCTTCTTTTACACTGCATTTTTTTTCCCGTTCATCATTATTTTTTATGTTCATCATATTATAGTGTGTTTGTTCCTTTTTGTTGCTGAACAATATTTTGTTGCGTGGATATTCACTCAGCAATTGATGGACATTTGATTTGTTGTCAAGTTAGAGGCCGTTGCAAATAATGGTACTATGAATATTTGCATACATGTCTTTATGTAGACATATATTTTTTTAATTTTTCCTGGGTAGATACCAAAAAGTGGAATTACTGTTTTTTGTTTAGCTTTTATGTTAAATTTATGTTTAACTTTTATGTTAAATTTATGTTTAACTTTTAAAACATTGCCAAATTGTTTTCCATCTGGGGCTATGCCATTTTACATTCCCACCATTAATGTGAGAGTTCCAGTTTCTGTTGGGTTGTGGGAAAAGTCATGACACATGTTTGCGACAGATGGCACTAGTTCATTTTTGGAAGTACTAGAGTCTTTTGCATCTATGTTATTGCTATGTCATTTGACAGCTGACAGTTCTAGCTTCATTCTAAAAAAAAAGATTGAGCGATTTGGTTGACTTTTGGAGATTTTACAACAAGTTGAAGATAGAAGACCAAATTGTGCATTTTTGCCATATTTTACTGTTTTATTTCCATAAAGGGAAGAACACGCGTCAATCTTGTGAAAAGTTGCCTCAAGTTTACGGTGACAATGCTCTACAAGAACGTCAGTGCCAACGATGATTCACAAGATTCCGAGCTGGTGATTTTGATCTCAGTGATGCCCCTCGGTCAGGGAGGCCCACTGATGTTGATGACTACAAAATAAAGGCATTGATCGAGTCAAACCCACGTTATACAACACGAGAGATTGCAGAAACATTGAACATCCATCATTCAAGCATTCACGATCACCTGAAGAAACTGGGATACATAAGCAAGCTCGATATTTGGGTTCCACATGAACTCAAAGAAGTTCATTTGACAGCACGTATAAACATCTGCAATATGCTCATTAAACATGAGGAAAATGATCCTTTTTTGAAGTGACTGATAACTAGTGATGGGAAGTGGATTGTTCACAACGATGTGGCGCACAAACGGTCTTGGTCCCAACGTGATGATTCGCCTCAAATGACATCGAAAGCAGACATTCATCAGAGGAAGGTTAAGCTTTCAGTGTGGTGGGATTTTAAAGGTGTCGTGTTATTTGAGCTCCTACCAAGGAACCAAACAATCAATTTGAATGTGTACTGTCTGCAGTTGGACAGTTCGAACAAATCCATCATCCAGAAACGTCCAGAACTTGTTAATTGTAAAGGAGTTGTGTTCCACCGTGACAATGCGAGACCACAGACAAGTTTCATCACCCATCAAAAATTATTGGAGCTTGGATGGGCTGTGTTGCCACACCCACCATACTCGCCTGACCTTGCACCATCAGACTTCCACTTGTTTCACTCTCTTCAAAATTCCTTGCGTGGATTAATGTTCAATTCAGATGAGGCTGTAAATCAGCACCTTGTTCAGTTTTTCGCAAATAAAGACAGGTCCTTCTATGAACGAGGAATTATGAAGCTCA